AAGATGACACTTGCAGCTATCTTGGTAGTAGGAAATAAAGGACTTGGCAGAAAAGACCCAGCCCTCCTGTATCTGGCACAAGATGGATGTTAGCTAGACTTGCAGAACTTCCTCCTTCTCACCCTCTTGCCCTCATGCAACACCCTCTTTTTTTCCTCCTCTGGCCTCTGTCTCCCCCCCTCAACCCCCCCTTTCTCCCTGCATTCACACACACCATGCTATAGGAATTGTTTTCCTTGTTAAATGAAACCACTATACAGATTCCTATTATTTTGCAGAACATCTGGTTTGCAAATGAAAAGATCTCTGGGGCACAGCAGCACAGAGTGAACAATTCTGAAGAAGCTTTTAACAAAACTTGGAAATTGCTGAACAAAAAAACAAAAACACAAAAAAAATCAACTCCCCTTCCTGCTGTTCAGTGTCACACAATCTTTTCACTCAAAAGGGTAGATGACATTAAAAAGTAAAAGAGCTTCACTGTGGCTCTCTTGTTTGGGCCTTTAGCTTTGTTTTGTACCTATCTATTTCTCTCATCCCTAAGAAATGGGAGTTAACTAAAAGCAAAATACAGATAGCAAGGAAATTAAATGGGAAACCAGTAGAAAACAAATTTCAAAGTTTAATTTTCTAGCATTTATTTTTGCTTTCAATAGATTTCAAATAAGTTGAAAAGAGAAGAGAGAGAAAGAGAAACACCTGTATTAATAGACGTTGGCCAGCACAACACTACTATGAAATAAAATTGTCAGGGGAATTCCTTGCGTGCCCTGGTGTCTCGATTTAAAGCACCTCCATAACGCAAACTGAAGGGGAATTCAATTAAGAAAACCCATTGGCTTCTTATTGACTTTAGTTAAGAAAATAAACTGGGGGAGAGTGTATTAAAATATGTCAGTCTGATTAGTATGCTTTCATTTAAGCTTATGACAATCAAAATGGGAGAATTTAAATTCTTTACAATTAAGCTCTGCTTCTGAGTAGATTGGGTTCTCTGAGTTATTCCACTGTGCATTTTTAAATGTACACCCTGCTTTCACACACCCCAAAACACAGCCTGACAGTGAATGTGTGCATTGTAAAGTGGGAGCAACACAGATCAATCTGGGAAGAAAAAGTATTTAAGGTTGTGAATTTAATTTTGTTCTAGGATTTTCATTTTCATTTATGGCACCCGTTGTGTTTGAGACCACAGACTAATTTATGGATTAGTTTTAAACCCCCAGTCTGTCACACTCAATGAACAATTCTAAGTTGGAGAGAATCCATATGAAAGGATTAGAATGTGCCACAGTGGAGCTTACACATGACTGTTTCAACTAAATATTGCCCAGCTGCCGCTCATGCAGTATTTTTTTTTTAATTTCTTTGCTACTTGGTTAAATGGCTAGTGTCTCTAATCTCACACATTGTCAGAGCTTTTTCAATTTATAAATATCTTACTATGACACGAGATACATGTGATCTTTCATTTATTCAAGACAGGGTCGCATCAACTGTAGGACTAGGAGACTAAGAAGAGAAGTCAATATTTAGTGAAATGTGTGTCTTTCAAATAATAGTGCAGGGCCCTTCCTCGGACACCTTGTTTGATTATACTCATAAAACAGCCAGGGAGTAACTATTAAGACCGTACACACTTACTGGGTTTGCAAGAACAGGGGATTGGTTTTTTTTTGTTGACCATATAAAATAAATGTACAATAAATCTGCCCTCATTGTAATTAAAATTAAAATAGAGACTATAGCTCACCTAGGCCCTTTTAATTTCATAACCCAATACCGCTATAAGTCCAATTTAACTTTTTGCGACCATTTTTTTATAGGCCTGGCTCAAAGATTATTTTTTTAAGGCAGCAACAAAATGAGGTTTAAAAAAGCCTTTGTTAAGGCAATTAGACACTCTCATTTTTCAAGCCGATTATAGCATTTATAACTTATATTGGAAGTATTCTGTTTGCATTTTGCACCTACACTTGGACAAAATGATGAACCCACAAGTTGATTCAGAGGGGTGATCTTGCACATTTCTTCACCTTGTGATTAAGATACCCTAATAAATCCTGCTTTTCAAAGCTGTACTCACAGGGTGTCTGTGATTTCTGCATGAAGTAATAATGCAATTAGGAAGGAGAGTTAAATTCTGCTATATAGTGTTCTCCTGCGGGGAACACAAAGTCACTTGTAAAGAATTCTTCCTTATGCTGGGCATGGTAGCACATGCCTGTAATCCCAGCAGCTGGGGAGGCCCGAGACAGGAGGATCGTGAGTTCAAAGCCAGCCTCAACCATTTAGTGAGATCCTGTTTCAAAATAAAAAATAAAAAGGGCTGAGGATGTGGCTCGGTGGTTAAGTGCTCCTGGGTTCAATTCCCGTACCAAAAAAAAAAATTCTTTCCTTGAAATAGTCTCTGTTGAGGTAATATACAGATGTTTTCAGAGAACCAGAGTAACTGGCTCCCCACATGCACCCTCATTCTTGATCTAAACCTTGTAGCCAACTATGTTTCCTCTGCGGTCTCCTCCATTGCTATTCATGGGTTTACCATTTCTAGCTGCAGGAACTGTGTTGTTTGACTTGAACATGTGTTTGCTTAACTGTTTTAGAATGTGTTTTTTCCTTCTCAATTCCTTTTGTCCTCTCTGTTGGGTGCAATTGATGGATTTCCCATCCCCAGAGTGGCAAAGCAAGGTGCACTATGAACTTGCCTTCATTTATTTTCTAGTACCCACATCAGAGTTTACGCCTAGCTTCAGTTGGTTTAATTTCATCAGGAAGCTGACATAATGTTGTGATGCAGGAACACAGTAAATTGGGGTCATTGGTTAATGCTCAGATATTATGTTTAAAGATTCTAACCCTGAGGTTTTAATTCCACCCTGTTTCTTTTATTTTATACTAATTGTGTACCTGATTTTAAAAATAAATAATAATAATAAAGCATATTAGAAGTGCTACCACAAAAGTAATGGACCAAAGTGTTCATTGTTTTATTTTCTCTATTTTGGAGAGGAGCCAATGCCTACCCATAAAATGTATTAACATGCATCTAAGTGTTTCTGTACAAATGTGCATTTGATTTTGCCCCTCAAGTTTAAAGTGTCTCAAACTAATGCTGGACTTGGATATTTCAACTAAGGAGATGTATCATCTTTGTTGTGAGAATCTGGTGTAGAATGTTGTTTCAACTGTACAATTTCCTGTATTGTTTTTTACTGCTATTTTATGCACACAGACTTGTCTTATAAGTAAGTATTGTGTTCTTATGCGGTATATTTTATGTTTTTCTTTCCCTCCTCAGTTCTTGAGATTCAGCTATCAGTTATATTAAGCTGCATTGGGCTCTCAGACTTCTGGTTAATTCTGGCTCCTTAGAAGGGCTCTAATTTTTGATGGTATAGGGTCCTGAGGAAAGCATGCCAACTGAAGGGGAACGCCGGTGTGAATTCATGTGTTCTATTAATAAATCCGAAGCTCTAGGCTCATCTGACGCCCCTCTAAAAAAGTTACGTTCAACTCCAGTGCATTTAAACATTGCCTGTGTTGAATCCAAAAGTCTTTTGGAGTCTCCAGAACTTATGAAAACAGTTACCAGCTAAATAGCTGCATTAGATAAAAAGACAGGGAATTTCTCTTAGCATTCACCCACAACCCCACTTCAGTCACCAGCTTTTGACTAGAGATGACTAGCTCGTGTCCCAGTGTCACCATTCCTTCCTGGCAGGAAGAGTAGTAGAAGAAGCATGCGCGAGAGTTATAGAATTGAAAAAGAAAGCTCGGCCAGATGCGGGTTCACATTGAAATGAAATTGGCTAAAAGAGTGGTGTTAAAATGACTGGAAAAAGAATGTCGTCATGTGTTTTGTTAGATATTTATCCCACTTCCCCTCTTGCCAAAAATAAAGAGAAGATTCCTTGATCCTTTTGGAGGAATCTCCTGTGAAGAAGAGCCCCTTCGGTATGCCAGGTTTAAAAGCTTGGTAGAAGGAAGAGAAAACTTGAACAGCATTAGAAATAGAAGAGGAAGAAGAGACAAGCCATATTTTCTTTCTCAACAAGTGCACCTAGCAGTGAAAAAACTGATTGCTCTGTCTCCTAATCCAGCAATGAGGGTTCAACTCCCGGCAGCTCACAACTGTGAACTTAGTTCTCAATTGTGAGCAAAAAAAATGGCTGAATACTTAAAGTTTTGGAATGTCATATAATTAGAAGTGGCATTTGGCAGATTGTGTAGACTTGTGTCTTTTTATGAAAGGCTCTGCTCTTGACTTGTAACATATTAAGAGCTGCAGAATGCAGAGTGAATTAGTTGTATGTGTCTGTGTGCGTGTGTGTGGAAACTAATCTGCGAAAACCTTGAACATGTTCATTCCTATGGCCTCGCAGTTAATTGAACTTTCCAGCTAAGCTCTGCTGAAATAATACAGTGAATGGAAAACTCGATCCTGTATATTGCATATCCATCTACAGACATCTGAGCGTAAACAGTGAAAGGATCCTAAAAGTGCAACTGATTCAGCGATACCTGATTGGCAGTCAAGAAGCCCAAGTGCCCGGGTGGGTTGGGTTAAAACAAAGGCAATGTTTGAATGTATGAATCCATTGTTTAACCAGCTTCCGACTGAGCTTTTTCTGTCGCAGTCTTGAGCCTTGATGCGTTAAGAGCCATTTACCAGCCACTGAGTTTGCACTGGTGTTTCTCGTCACTTTGCATGTTCCCATGACTATGGACGAGCAAATATATGTGTCCTGGCAAGACCCCCAGAACCAAAGAATTTACTGTTTTCCTCACTGGCTCGCAGCTTTGAGCTCCAGGCATGTCTTAAAACAGTGCAACTCACTTCAAATGCTTTTTGCTTTTCATTTATTATTGCTTGTCACGCGATGTTCTTTGAAAGCTTGCTCATATATTATCTGTTCCATTTTTTTCCATTTTCCCTTTTTTTGCATGCTGTTCCTCCTGTTTCCTCCCTTCCTCCAATCCTCTGTTCCCGTCTGTAGACACAACGGCGACGACAGAACCAGCAGTTCACGGTTGGTATCACATTCCTGTTTATCTACTTTCTCAGCGCTGCTGAGAGGCAAGGCAAGCTGGGAAAAAGAGAAATGTAGTCTTCAAGGGAACTCATGTTCCAAGTAGACTGATATCATAAATATACTATAACTTCTTAAGGCTTGAAAGGATGTCGAGTCTTGTCATTTTTGTTGTGAGTTCAGTAGCCAATGGTTGCAATCTGAGATGAGGCCTCCTCCTCACTGGCTGGTGGCATGGTGGGAGTTTCAGTTTTACGTAGTCCCCTTGCTTATAAAACTCCACCAAATCTTGAAATGCATGGGACTTTAAACACACTAATATTTGCCTTAGCAACATAACATCTGAATCATAGGCTCAGTTGCTTTCTGCATTTGTAGGCCATAGTCCCAGGTAAATTTCAAAGGGGGTCATATGTATGGTTTAGTAGTTGAGATTGAAGGTCAGGGAGGAATATCTCTGTTTAAATTCACAAGGTGGTAATGAGGACGGCCATTGATCCTCTTTAGAAAAATTATGAATTTAATTATATTCCTACATGTATTTACCCCAGACCCTTACCCCATTTCATGCACTCTAAATCTCTGTGTGTTCATTTAAGTTTATGTTTACATTTGGCAGAAAACATCCCCAAGCCAAGAGTGATACTATACTATACATCAATTTGAACATCATTAGCTGGCACTTAAAAATAAAAAGTCATTGCTGTGTGAGTGCTTTGCAGGCAAAATAACGTTTTTAACCAAAAAGGGATTAAAACATGAGTGAGTGAAGTTTAGACAGGGACATCAGGAAGTAAGATGTCTCCCCATCTCACCAGTGGCTCACTGGGTTGGGATAATTTTATTAACTTTCCTGTGTCTTTCTCATCAGAAAATGAGAATCATTTCATCTGTATATTACTTGATTGCTTACCTCAAATTTAACCCTGGCTAGATTGTACTTAGAGAATATGTTAGGTTTAAAATGAGTTGAATTTTAATAATTGAATCCAAGGGAATCGTTGGGTAAAGGGCCTCCTTCAGTCACTTTGCATACTGTACAGATTGGAAATTTATTATTTCAATAATAAGAGATGATCAGCCAACCTTGTCGTATTAATTCAGCTTCTAGAGTAACCTCTCCTACCCCGACCAATTTCCTTAAAAAGACCTACATTTGATAACTTACCAGTTGGAAATCTCAAAACAAAATTTGAGATTTTGTCCTTAGATATCAGCCCATGGTCAGGGTTGGCAGCTCACCCTCATGTTTGGACTTCCTAGTGAGGAATTCTGAGAGAGCTGAGCAAGCTCAGGAATGGATTGACAGATCCCATCCACTTCCACTTCACTCTGCCCTTTCCTGTCATTGACACAAAGGAAAAAGTTAATAAAATAAGTTAAAGTGGCCAGGTACATTGACAATCATGAGAAATCAATTAGGTATAAAACTTGTGCTTGCTAAGGTGGTGCCCCATCGTGCTTGCTACATCTCAGGCTTTGCACTCCATTAAGCTCAGTTATTTGTATGTTTCATCATTAATTGAGCACCTCCTGACTTTTATCGATTATTCTCAGAGCTTTAAGGTTATTTTAATGTAGTTCAAGAGATTTTGTTCTTTTTAAGATAATTTAAGTTCTGAGCTTCCTATAATTAACTATAGGGTCAAATGTAACCATAAGATTCCTGAATTCTATGATCTTTGAAGGAGTAGACATCATTTATTTCCTAAAGCTCCATAGTTCTATTTTTAGATTCCTTCAGTAAAATTCATGTGTTTTGGGGGGTTCATCCCTAAAGACCTGGACAAGATATTTAAAGTATGAAATTTGTCCCTTGCCCTGAAAAATGAAAAGTAAACTCGGGGCCTGCTCCAGATTTTAGGGTTCAGTTTTTAATTAGGCCCTCCTCTTTAAAGAAAAAGGGAAAGTGATCTCTTTTTGTTGTATGATAAAGAGATGGTTGAAATAGGACTTTATAGAATTCCTGTGGCCAGAAGTAGACATATGTGTGTATTATGAGAAGCAACCACTGTCTTATTAGCTTGGGGACAATATTCAAGCCCATGATACCTCAATAGAATGTTATTGACCAACATTGCATGTGAGATTTAGGGGGATAGAAAGAACAGCCTTATTGAGACACACACACACACACACACACTCTCTCTCTCTCTCTCTCTTTAAATTGGACGCTTTAACAGCAAAGGAATAGAGAAGTGATAGATAATCCAAGCTGATCCCTGTATAATGCATTTATAAATACATTCTTCAGCTTGGCCAGTATCCTCATAGAATCTTCACAGAGAGCTCCAACATCTATTTTGAACAGCACACTTTCTAGCCCATGGCAAAAGCTCTAATAAAAAGCAAAGTAATATCTAAAATTTTACCTGTTGGGAGGGGGAATCTTCCAGGTCAGTTGTCAGGATAAAAAGATAATAGAACATGGTGAAAACTGGAAAGCAGGGGATCAGATTTCCAATGATTTTATTCTAGTACACTGTGGCTAAAACCCAACTTCTTCAGTACAGCAACCATTTGACTTATGTTCATCTGATGATAACCTTGAGATGTTCTTAATGGTGATCTGGGCCTAGAAAAATGTTAAGTGGTTTGATAACTTGGCAACTTAAATGACAAGACATATTAGGTCAGCCAGCTGTGACCATCTTACTGGTCTTAAAAGTTGTCATACTAGATTTCTTTCCATATTTCTCTTTTATCTCATAAAAAGAAAAAGAAATTTTTTAAAACTTTCCCTTTGAAGACTCATTAAAATATTTTATTCAAGCTTGTGTTGCTAGAGTATGTATGAAGTTTATACTAGTTGTTGATGTATGTTGACCATTTGTTCTTACCAATATCTGATTGGAATAAGCATGTATTGGAAGGTTAGAAGTGCATGGGCATGATTCAAAATCAAAATGGATTTTCTCCAAAAAGAAAACCAAACAATAATCAGCCACAATATATTTTTAAGGATCTGATAGTCACGATAAATATGAGTGTAAGAATGAGATTTTAGACTAGGCTGACACAAGGGATCTTCTCTGAATAAGGATCTTGAGCATTTGTGTTTTGGAGCTCATCCTTACAGGCCTGGACAGGAAGAATCCTGTGTTATGTGTGCATGTTGAGCAATGCAAAAAAAAAAACAAAAAACACTCTGCCAAATCCTGATACCACACTGTCTGAAATTGACGGCAGAAATGCATGAATGATTCAACGCACGGGTGGTGTAGTCGTTATTATGATTATTGATGTGTGGGTGTGTGTGACGGCTTTTGTTTGTTTGTTCAAATGTGGGCGCTTCTCTGTGTCTTGTGCCTTGTTCTTTTTCTGCTCTGTGTGTCCCCTCTCCCTTGCCCCCCCCCATGTGAGGGGTCGGGTGACAGCATGCCCGTGGTCTGGAATAGTGCTTGTGCTTTTGCTGCACTGCAGTCAGCTGGCTTCCTTTGGGTTTGAGGTTCTCTCTCTCTCTCTCTCTCTCTCTCTCTCTCTCTCTCTCTCTTCTCAAGTCTACCTGCCCTCTTGCCTTTGTACCTCTTGATACAGTAGAGGCTGATGATCTCATGAATTTTCATATCCCAGATGAGTTTTTAAATAGATCTTAATTCAGTCTGTAACTGGGAACCCCTCTGAAGAATAATTTTTCATTTTCAGTTTGGGTTTCACAATGTTTGGCCAGTACTAAACACATGCTCGCCCCCTAGACTGCTGCCCTTAGGTTCCTGCCCCGTGAATCTCCCTTTCCCTGACTATTTCATGAGTAGTGCAGAATTCTAAAAGCACATAAAATTTCCTTATCTTACTTTACATTCAATTGTGGGGAAATTCTTAAGCCCGTTTTAAAGAAAAATAGCCAGCAGTGCGCATTATTACAACCGCTATGTCCACCATCTGTGTATATACCTCTATGTACATCTCTCTGTATGCGTACATAACAATGGCATTCAAAGGCTGTCATTCAGTCAAGGGACTCTGCAGACATTGTATGTTCTACCCAAGAACAAAGCTAAAGAGGTTTACGAATGGCTGCAGGACCTGAAGATTGCGTTTCAGCCTTGATATTCAGTTTGGAAACAATGTGCTACTGTTTAACGGCGTGAACCAAATTTCTGCTAATGGGAAGAAGGGAAAAACTCTCCACAAAAGCTGACAAAGCAGGAAGAACAGGATGACTGAGCTTTTAGATTAAAACTACCGGGGGCGTCTGAACTCTTAAGGCTGGTGATGGAAGTAACAGTTTCCATAATATGGCCAAGTGATCAGATGCGTGCCGCTTAGGTAAGAGAGAGCCGTCGCCTACTTTTTGTTTTTCATAATGGGAATGATACCAGGGCCAGTGGGCTGTTCTGTTTCCTAAGTTTTATTTGATCATTCTTTTTTGAAGTTTACCAAAACAAATGATACCCTGATGAACAGAACCCAGAAGCATTTAAATTTTACTATGATCTTGAGTTCACTTAAATGTCTGGTACTTCTTATTGTTTCTAATTTTTTGAGGCTTCTTTCCCCTGGTTTAAAATTGCCACATCATACCACATTGAGAAGTCAGCAGTGATGGTTGAAAAAGAGGGATTATAACCACAGAAGCCCTGAAAAGGCATAGGGTATGTCACAGCATGTTGGAACCCGAAGAAAAAGCAAAAATCAAAACACACGTCTCTGCAAAAGAGACGATCATTGTGCATATATTGAATTAGCACATTTGTACCTTAGGGTTTTCTTAATTGCTCAGAAAAATCCCGTATGGACAAAAAGTAAACTTTCATTTGTTTAACAAAATGTAAAGAAATTTGTTGAATGCATTTTAATTAGAATTGATGAGGAAGGGCTTTAATAGGTGATGTGAAAGTTTAAAAAAGAAGAATCAAGAAGTAATTTCCCACTTATTGTTAAATCATGAAGTTGCCTTCTGAAGAGTAATCTCTGCTTCATAAAATGCATCTTTGTCTTTTTTTTGAGAAAATGAGAGGTGTATAATTTTTAACATGAAAGAAAAATACCTAAGCCAA